TTGTACGCCCAACGGTACATTGGTATACAGTACGTTATTTAATATAGCCGTAAGTATAATGAAATTAGCCTTTAGGATGGCCATATTTGCGTCGGTTGGATTCTGTGGATACTGATTAGGATGATATGTCTCAAAGACTTTATCCCAAAGACTTAAATTTGTCAAATCTCTTAAAACTTGTTTTTTATCTTCATATAATTTTATGTCTCTTCTAAGTTTTTGAACTTTTATACCAAACTCTTCAATTCTACGTCTATTCTCTTTGCTAGACATCTCAATACTGAATATAGAAGCACCTATTTACTTTATTCAACTAAATAATAACTTATGCCCCAACCACAAAATATGCCCCCATATTTGATGTATCACACATAGTTCTAGCTCGTCATCAATTTTAAAATGCCGTTTAAATGACATATTCATTATAAGCATGTTGCATTACATTACATACTCAAAAATTAAAGAAATCGTAGACATTAATTCAAAAAGTGTCAATAAGACAACGATTAGCAAATTCATTATTAGTATGACACGTGTCATTTCCCTTTCAAAAATCATGAGAATCGGAAATATAAAAGATGGTGGGATACCGGTAGTAATGATATGATAATTTCAGCTAGATAACAGTTCAAGGTAAACATCAACAACAACGATCCGTTAATGTGTTTTTTTACCGGTAGTAATGATATGATAATTTCAGCTAGATAACAGTTCAAGGTAAACATCAACAACAACGATCCATTAATGCCCCTGTGTCTTTGATGGCAATTCTTTCGTTGGAACTGACAGCTGGATGACAGTTCACGCCGAATGCCGTTTGCCCCATTCGAATCGGACCAATAGAAATAAAGATATAAGTTTTAGGCCCTTCTGGCATGTTTTTTCTCTTCAACGTTAATCGTTCTATACATAATGCCGTTTTTCCCATTTGAATCGGACCACGTGATACATGCTAAGGCCATTCTGACTTTTTCGTTCTGCGCATGATTTTTCTGTTTGACGTTAATTGTTCTCTTCATAATACCGTTTCTCTCGTTTGAATCTGACCAATAATAACAAAGATATTAGTTTTAGGCCCTTTTGATCTGTCACTGCGAATAAGTTTTCTGTTCGACGTTAATCTATACCACGTTCTCTACATAATACCGTTTTTCCCGTTTGAATTGGACCAGTAATGTCCGAGAAACACGCTAAGGCCCTTGTGGCTTTTCATTCTACGCATGATTTTTCTGTTCGACGTTAATCGTTCTCTACATACCTCCGTTTTCCCCGTTTAAATCGGACCAACGATAGCTGAGATATACGCTAAGGCCCTTCTGGCTTTTCGTTCTACGTATGCTTTTTTTGTTCGACGTTTTCGAGTTCTCTACGTAATGCCGTGCGAAGATATACGTTAATGCCCTTTTGACTTTAATGGTAATTCTTTCTTTGGAAATGATAGCTAGATGACAGTTCACGCTGAATGCCGTTTGTCCCGTTTGATTTGGACCACGTTATACACGCTTAGGTCCTTTTGGCATTGCCATTGCGCATGTGAAGTTGCGAATGGCAACTATCCAACGTCTCACGTAGAATAACGTTGATTATATACATCATCTTGTAAATGATTATTAAATGTCCTCGTGGCCGAGCGGTCTAAGACGCCGACTGGTAATCGGCAAACCTCTCTGGGTCGGTGGATCGATCCCCGCGTAGTCAGATTTTTTTATTTAATTAATAAAATTAATAATGGTGTATGTTGAGTTGCTGTGATATTGTATAATGATGTATAGTAAGTTGCGGATTAATAAATTAATTAATAAGTGACTCCATCTAGGGGCAGATATAGCAGGCTGGTAACAAGGTCGAGTAAGGTCAGGTTAGCAACAGTTGGCTAGTGACGTCATGACACGTGACGTCAAGGCGAGTGACAAATGGATGACAGCATGACACGACACCTGACATGACAGGTGGCCGGGAAAAGACAAAAACAAATAAAAATAGATTAGTAGATTGCTGTTAGATAAGAACTGAATTAGGGCGTGGCAGTTAGGCGGCTTTGCCAAAGGAAAATTTGGTTCCCACGCTCAACCGCCGCGTCTCCTGCTTGCAAGCTTTCCTCCTCCCCCGGCATGTATGGTGTTGAAATCTAGAAATTGAAATTTAGGGATAATACGACGCTGGAGGTGCTATTATCTATTATATTTTTGCGACAAGTTCACCTCGAGGAGTTCGCGACCACAAGATCAACTATGATCTACTAGTCCGGGGACAAGCAGCAGGCAACAAGTTACCGCACTATCGGGGTGGGTTTCGCGATTTAGAGGCTACTGCACATAACGCTCTCAAAGCGTCTTAAAGATGCGACCCATCTGTATCCAAGCCAAATGGGCTTTACTGACACCGAAACGCTTATTCCTGACTATTATATCCGATCACAACATAATCGTGGCCTTCGACACAATAGGATACGCCCAGATGGTGTTATCCTCCTCCAATATTTTTAAGGCCAATGCCGTCTTCAGCAGCCCCGTCCGCGTGAGCAGAGGAGTCACACAAGGGGGCCTTTTGAGCCCTCTACTCTTCAACTTTAGGGGCTTTAATTCCAGAATAACCCCCTATATAGTTAAGGACTACGAAGTTAAGTTCAAGGCAATAGAATTCTTATTTTATTTAGGCGCAGAGTGATATATGTTCCTTCTTCAAAAGGAAAGACTTGTATTTCGTGCAAAACTTTTTAATTAATAAAAGTAAAGCGCTTTCGGCATTGTGCCATCAGTGCTTATCTACAAAAATTGTGGATGTAAACTTAAAATTTATAAATATGTGTAAAAATAAAATCTGAGTAAGACTTTTAAGTCAAAAGTTAAAATTATTTATATAAGGTAATTTTGAACAAATTAACAATTAAAAGATAATAAACAGAGTGGCATAACCCAGTGTTGGGAATAGTGAGTGTGGGATAAGCCCCTAAAAAATCATATCTGATTTACAGAAGCAAGTTAGCTTGTGTGGAACTAAGGAATTATACCACCAACGATTCGCATTGATTACAGTTGAAAACAAGTTAACAAATTAAAATTTAAAAAAATTTACAAAAATTTACAAATAGAGGGTGACTGTGGAAAATTATTGATATATTTTGTTTTTTATCCCCCGGGACATACATAGTCTTATTTTTATTAAAGAACACGTAAAACGTGACAATATGAAAATTATTGTCTGCTGCATACGGCGTTTCCAGCTGGTGCATTTGAAATTTAGTCTAGCCGTAATTTTACATCAACCTTATAAAACCGAAATAATTTCTTTTGATCATGACGAATAGATGAATCTCCTGAAGTTGCTTGAACTACGTAATGATGATTTTTCAACGAACCTCTCGACGCCGATACTGATGCCGACGATTATGAGTCCGTATCGTATTCGTAGTACGTTTTTAAAAGTAACCCAATTGATCTTTGACGATTCAAAATTCATCGAAATTTGGTTTCGTCTAACCCTAGATTATATTGTGAATATACTAAAAGTGACAAACTTAGTGACCCTTTGGATAGCCATGTTGGAGCAACTAGATTTTGTGCATTATTATGTTAGAGTGTTAGATATAATAAGACCCTTTTTCATAAATAATGATTTATGGTGTGTTAAGTTACAATATTTACTTGAATTATCTAATAATGTAATGTTAAGTAACGACTTTACAAGGATTTGCAATATAAATTTTTGTTGTACTTGTTACTATTATCTCTCCTCCTACCCCTCCTCCTAACTTTCTATTAATTTCATAAAAATTATCAAAAAGAGTTAATAAAAAAGTTCCAGGGATAATGAAAAACAAAAATAATGGGAAAATTATGACTCATTTTGTAGGACTTCGCTCCAAAATACAGTTACAAAGTGCAGGGTGGTAAAATAGATAAGAAATCAAAGGGCGTTAAATATATAGTAGTCAAAAATAAAATTACCTTCGAAGATTACGTTAAATATTTGAAAGAAAGTCGGGAAAAAGCTACACAACGTTGTATTAAATCATTTGCACATAATGTGTATAGTGACGATAAACGCTATTTAATTCCAAATAGTTTTGACACACTTCCCTGGGGGAATTATAATATCCCTAACGAATGAAACATTTTTTTGTTTCAGATATGAAGCAGCCCCAACAATTAGAAAAATTATGTATAAAGACAATTTGTGAAAACATTAATAACCTAGCTATATTTATAGACCAGTCTCCGCTACCATGGCCAGTGACATGTGATATTGTCAACGAATTTTTGGATTGGATTGGAAATAGAAAGCACTAAATGTTCAAGCACAAATTGGACTTGATGAATATTGTATATGGGTTTCATATTAAAAAATTTACAACTATAACATTAACATGTTTTGAGATTTTACTAAAAGCTCATAAGCATAACGATAAGTCAATATTTGTCGTTTTTGATTTTCTTCACGAAAAACAAGCTACATATTCTCTTTTATAAGATATATTTCAAGTACCATTTTACTGGTGTCAAAGTTGTTTTAATTATGTACTTTTTAAGTCAGATGTAATGAATCATGTATAAACGCACTAATACGTCTCAAATACGTCAAATAACCGATTTATAGATTTCGATGAAAGTGAAACTGAAATTGATGAGTTTCCTGGATGTTATTTGTCAAAAAAACACAAGCAAACAAAGATATCTGAAAAAATATCGCTTCAAATCTTTTCTTCTGTAATTTATATATTATTGATTTTTATAAAAAATGCTTTAAATATTTACAAACATATTTTACTTGTTTTCCTTAATAATGTCTTAACTTTCTTGTAACATACATGTAACATATACATAAATAATTTTTTAATATTTTTTTGTAGATTTTGATATATTTATTGCATATTTACGTTGTAATCTCAAAATCTACATAAAATATTTAAAATTATTTATGTTTTTTTTTATTTGTAACTAGATTTTTAAGTAATAAAAATATGTAAAATATGTAAAATGGGTAAAAAAAGAAGCAGAAGTCTTTAGTATTATTTTATTCATAAAACGAAATTATTTTTGTTAACATAGTTTTTAATTGATTCAATATGAAGGGACATGGTACGCCAAACAGATTCCAGCTGAGGGTTCCTGTTTCTACAATTTTTTGTATATTCACTGTATTTATAGTAGGTATTTCGATAGAAAAAGTATATATGTCCATCTATATATCTAAATGCAGAAGTTAGATGTTCAGGAATTCCAGGAAACAGATCTCTTGTTCTTTCACGATTAAGTATTTCTCCAGGTTCATTAAATTCAATGTATATATTATGGTTGTACAACAGGTATATCTGTCCGCTGTTTGTTTGAAATAGAGCATTAATAACTTTAACATTTTTGATTGGCAGATTAAAACTATGTTGAATGTTTAAATTAGGAAACGTCACTACATACACTATTTGTTTACTGATTGTGTCCTGATGTGGGTGGAATATGCATATCATTTAACTTCAATTTCCACAAAAAGTTTTTGTGACCTATATACATTCGATAACTAGAAAGCTTTCTGCCGTTGCTAAAAACGTGAAGTTTGGCATTTTAATATTAATATATTTTAATTCATTTGGTAATCTAAAGCCACCGAAAGAACTTGTCCGTTATTTAGGTAGAGCAAAATTATTTTACAACGACGATCAGTATCAAACTCATAACTAAATTAATTGTGGACATTTATGTTTAAAGTTTCTGTACAATGGATGCCATTTGCACAGTAGTGCAAATGATTCTGTCAATAAAAACTTAACATAAAAATTATGTTTACCCAATGTTTTGATATTGTTTTCATATGAAATCTAATAACTAATTTTGTGAATATAAATGAGTAAAATAAGTGGCATAGTTGTAATTGGAAAACCAGGATAAGACCTGTGCTGTTATATTAAGGATAAACCTTTAAAATCTTACATTAAGGTGAGTTTATTTAAATTAAATTGTGACATGATTATAATAGAATGTTACAATGAAAAAATTATTAGTAAATAATAAATAAAAATAGTTAATGCCAGTAACAAGGAAGAAATCGAAAAAGCTTCTGGTAGAACTTAAAGTAGAGAAAAATTTTAAACCACAGCTCAACACTACAGAGCTTCCTGGAACAGGATTTCAAAGTTTGAAAAAATCCAAGGTTAGCTTTGTCACAGAATTACACTGTGTGAGAGAAAAAAATCGTCGGTAAAGAATATGGTGGATAATAAGCCACCTACGGTCCCGGACGAAACTGGCAATACTGGTCCCCAAATTGAGATACAATTGGGTAAAAAAACCAAAATCTCAGCTACTGAAAACAATAGACAAAATATGGCTAATACAACTCTTGTAGAGGTTTTCATCATAAACCAGCTACTCCACAATTTATATTTCCAGCCATTTTTAACCCCTGGGTTGGTAATTTCACTTTATTTATATCAAGTTACGAAAGAACTGCTATTGCAAATGGCTGGGACAACAATTTAAAAATTAGTTACCTAGAGAAGGGACAGCAAATATGTGGTTTACTTTATATAAAGACAAATTAGAAAATGAGTCAAAAAAGTGGTCAGAGGTCAAAAATAGACGAGAGAGCCTCTCGCCGAAACATAGAAACGCGTCTACTTAGCAGAAAGCAAAAGAAGGGAGAATCAGTAAAATCTAATTTATACGATTTGAATAGCCTTTATTATGAATTTGACACAAATATGAATCTCGATTGGTTCAGAAAATATTTTCAAAATCTTGTTTGATTGAAAATAAAAGCGAGCACTGAAAATAACTAAAAATATTAAAAACTCTTATAGAATCACAATGGTGTAAGGAAGTTTGTCCACAAGCATGTACCAATTTAAATCAAAATAAATGGAACAAACTGAAAACAAATGAGTATGATTTCAAGGCCTTTACTAGTTATTTAAAAGACATAAGCAAGAAGGCGAGTATCTATTAATTTAGAAGTGGTCAACGGAAATAAATTTGAAAAATGTTTAATTAAGGCTGATTTTATTTTTTATTAAAACCTACAATCATTTAGTTATAAGCGTGGAAGAGGTGTACCCACATTGTTATCGCCAATGATGAAAATACATTTTAATAATGTTTTACAATGTAGAGATAACTTTGCAATTGAAAGCGATTTTTTATTTCATACAACTAGTAAAGGATTTGATGATGGTACAAAAATTTGATGATAAAAAAATGTTTCATAAATATGCCAATAAATTTCAGCTAGAGAGACCTTCGAGTATACCATCAACAAAACTTCGAAAGCATTAGGCCACCATTACTCAACCTCTTCAATTTTCAAATAATGATATGAAGCAATTAATCAAATTTATGGGCCACACATTAAAAGACTCATTGCAGTTATTATCGTTTGTCTGACAAAGTGTATCAGACGGCTAAAATTTTAAATCTTTTACATTTGATGATGGAAGGTGGAGCTGAAAAATTCAAAGATAGAACATTGGACAAAATTGATATTAACTTAGTCCCTCTTTCTGAAGATGAAGGAGAAGAAATGGAAAATATTTTGAGTACTTATGAGTAGATAGACAACCTATGTTCTGTGACACATAGGGAATTCAATGTGTAAGAGTGAGAGGTACATATTCAATGGATAAGAGTGAGACAGACGGTCTGAGGGAAAATCGGGGTAGTGGGGGGAGTGGGGGATTAAATTTCGTTTACCGTCGAATAGAAAAATCATGCGTAGTGGTGAAGCCAGAAGGGCCTTAGCGTATATCTCAGCTATCGTTGGTCCGATTTAAACGGGGAAAAGGGGGTTATGTAGAGAGCGTGATATAGATTAACATACAAGAGAAAAATCATGCGCAGTGGCAGGACAAAAGGACCTTAGCGTGTATCTCAGCTATCGTTGGTCCGATTTAAATGGGGAAAAGGGGGTTATGTAGAGAGCGTGATATAGATTAACATACAAGAGAAAAAGCATGCGCAGTGACAGGACAAAAGGGCCTTAGCGTATATCTCAGCTATCGTTGGTCCGATTTAAACGAGGAAAACGGCATTATGAAGATAACTCGCTATTGATTGACGTCAAAAAGAATTTTTTCGTAGAACGAAAAGCCAGAAAGGCCTTAGCGTATATCTCAGCTATCGTTGGTCTGATTTAAACGAGAAAAACGGCATTATGAAGATAACTCACTATTGATTGACGTCGAAAAGAATTTTTGCGTAGAACGAAAAGCCAGAAGGGCCTTAGCGTAAATCTCAGCTATCGTTGGTCCGATTTAAACGAGGAAAACGGCATTATGAAGATAACTCAGTATTGATTGACGTCGAATAGAAAAAACATGCGCAGTGACAGGACAAAAGGACCTTATCGTGTATCACGTGGTCCGATTTAAACGAGAAAAACGAGGTTTGACGAAAAGTTTGACGTTTGACGACCGACGTTTGCCGTTTGAAGTTTAACGTTTGAAGTTTAACGTTTAGCGTTTGACGTTTAGTTTCTGCTAGTATCGAGCGAACGAAAAGCCAGAAGGGCCTTAGCGTATATCTCAGCTATCGTTGGTCCGATTTAAACAAGAAAAACGGCATTATGAAGATAACTCACTATTGATTGACGTCGAAAAGAATTTTTGCGTAGAACGAAAAGCCAGAAGGGCCTTAGCGTATATCTCAGCTATCGTTGGTCCGATTTAAACGAGGAAAACGGCATTATGAAGATAACTCAGTATTGATTGACGTCGAATAGAAAAAACATGCGCAGTGACAGGACAAAAGGACCTTATCGTGTATCACGTGGTCCGATTTAAACGAGAAAAACGAGGTTTGACGAAAAGTTTGACGTTTGACGACCGACGTTTGACGTTTGACGTTTAGCGTTTAGTTTCTGCTAGTATCGAGCGTCAAGGTTAACAACCCAGATCTCCGAGAGGAGGCGTATCCTACATCCGACAATATTTTTTTAAAGTAAAATAAGTATAGTCTTTGGGATAAAGGCTTTGAGAGATATCATCCTAGACCACTTAGAAGAATCCAACCGACGCAAATATGGCCATCCTAAAGGCTAATTTCATTATACTTACGGCTATATTAAACAACGTACTGTATACCAATGTACCGTTGGGCGTACAACAGATGGCGATACGTTTTGATAATCAAACGGAATGGCGAAAGATGAATTTCTCGGTGGTAAATAATATGAAGCTAAATACATTTTCCATAGCAATCGATGAAGCAAAGAGATACAAATTAAAATTGATTTTTAATTATGGCACTGAAGGAGAATTCAAATATTGGCATGCTGTTACGACTCCACCACCACCACCACCCATCGATTTGAGTGACATGTCAGAGCCTAAATATTCTAAATTATATGTAGTTAGTTGTATAACACTATCATCTACTTTGTTTATAATATTGAAAATTATTGTAAAAATTGTAAATAAAAAATTTTATTCTTCTTGTAAAACGAAAATAAATGCATGAAATTAATAAGGGGTTTCAATTAAAAAACATTTTTTCATTTATAATCATTTATTAATAACAAAAAAATTACAAAGGTATGCAATTAAGGAACCATTGGCGTAGACTTTCGACGTTCTTCTGGGTACATTTAAATGATCCATTGGCGTAGTACATGCAGGTTTTGGAGTCACTACTGAATTTTTCTGTTGCACACGAGGTTCCATCGAACTTGCATACATCTACTATTATAGGACGTGACACTTTTTTAGTAAAAATTCGGCTTTTTCACTTCCTTGCACGTAAAAACAATCAGCATGGTTTAGTAAATATGTTTCCAGAATCGAGTTTAACTTGGAATAATCCACGTCTCCAGAGGAATAGTTGACCCCATGAATATGTTTCTCAACATATCTAGCGCTAATTCTATCAGGCGTATTTAGGTTAGAATAAGGTGTAGGCGGTGTGAACAAAGCGTGGTATTGTTTACAACCAATTGCGATACTCAATTCCTTCGGATGAAAAATACCGTATTAACCTTGGATGTCAACGAATGCGATCCTCATGGTAACAGAAACAAGACTGAATTAGAACTACTTTTTGACACACCGTATAGGAATATTATTTGTTAAAAAGTGTTTCATGTGGGAGAGCGATTGTATAAATTGAAGAAAATCAAGTTTAACCTCCTCAGTTGTTTATAGTCAATCTGAAAAAATGTATTCTCAAGATTCTGGTTACGGTTCAAGTAGTGAGTTTGATTTTTCGTTACAACCACCATCATCACCAACACCATCATCGGTGGCGTCTGAAAAATACGGCAGTGAACTAGATTCTCTATTAGAGAAGTATGAAGAAGCAGCCAAGAACGAAGTTCATTACCTACTCTACACGCAATTCCTACAAGGTTCCCATCAAATTGGGTGTGGTCTTAGTCCAGCGAGATCGTTTACTCCCGCTGTTGTTATACAAAAAGGACAGTCGGAAAAAATATCGTTTAGTTCCTATGAGTGGGAACAATTGATAACCCTACTTCAAGACAACAATGTTTTTAACGAGATTGTGGATCTTCCTGATGAGTACGCCGGTATTGAGTTTCAGTGTGGTGATTACTGCAAAGTTCGACAAGTGATCTTCGAAGATACAAAGTTTATTATCGTAAGCAAACACAATATAGACTTTTGGTTAACAGAA